TCCTCCTTTCTAAAATAGGATTTCTATGCATTATGGGATTATTGTAAAGGTCCACTGCACCAAGGTAGAGAAAGTGCCCAATGCATTCCCTCCAGTGCCGACGCTCCATAAACACTGGGTCCCTCCACCGCCATCCCCACTCCTCTGCCGGTCCTTCAGAGGGCAGACTCTTCCACGGGTGGAGGCAGAGCCCTGAGAGGAGAGAGCTGCCTTGATGGACAGAGAACAGGAGGAGAGAGATGGTGGACACCAAGGGACACTGTTCTTTGGGTGTGTGTTGGGTGGATTCTAGCCCCCATCAGCCCATGAACATGTTCTGGGATGCTCAATAGAAGCATTCCAGATGGTTTTAAAACTCTGCATATTGCTTTATTGGTCGATGGCCAGGCTTCTGTGTCTTCAGGCTTCCATGGCTTGCATGCTACCAGAGCCATGAAAACTTGGTTTGGCATTCAGAAGGACAGGAAGACACTGCATAAGGCAGATGGTGGAGGAGTGCGGGCAGCCCGGTGCAGTCTCTGCAGGTCCCCCCGTGGGATCACCACTCGCCTTCTTTCCATGAATAGTGGAGCCACTGGGTGGGGTGAAGGTGAGGCTAGGTCATTTATTCAGTATTTTGCTTCCTAATTCTGCATTTAACCTGTTCACCTTTGACCACAGACCTCAGAGAGCTTCCTTAAAAAACAAACAAACAAAAAAACCCCTCAATCCAGAACACATTGTCTCCCAAACCAATAACGGCAAAATTGTGGCAATATGGGTTGCTCTTCTGTACCCAAGGACTTTTAGCTCCTTAAGAGAAAATGACAAAAAAATAAAATATGAGGGAGAAAAAGAGGAACACTTCCCAGATGCCCCAAGCTTGAACCAACACACCTGTCTGTATGGAATTGCCCCCCTGGAATACAATCTTTTTAATGTTACAAAGTGAGAACACTTGGCCGGCGCTGCAGCTCACTAGGCTAATCCTCCGCCTGTGGCGCCGGCACCCCAGGTTCTAGTCCCGGTTGAGGCGCTGGATTCTGTCCTGGTTGCTCCTCTTCCAGTCCAGCTCTCCACTGTGGCCCCAGGAAGGCAGTGGAGGAGGGCCCAAGCACTGCGCCCCATGAGAGACCTGGAAGAAGCACCTGGCTCCTGGCTTTGGCTGTGGCAGCCATTTCGGGGGTGAACCAATGGAAGGAAGACCTTTCTCTCTGTCTCTCTCTAACTCTGCCTGTCAATAAATAAATAAATAAATAAATAAATAAATATGAGAACACTGGAAGTAATGGAAGGTGAAGGCTCCCACAGCCATGGTTGTCTCTTACAGAGAGGATCCAAACACCCCCCAGGAGTCTTGCAAAACCTTTGGCCATGGCCTGGCCAATTCTCTTGCAGGGAAGACAGACACAGAGACAGGGAATCCATGGGGAAAAGTCTAGAACCTGGAGGAGGATGCTATCGTGGCTTGTTGCCTAGCAACCACAACTGGGTGCCTGTGGGTACAGCCCATGAGGACAGCAGAGAAGAGGAACACCAGGGCTCTCTTGGCACCAAGCTAAGCTCCATCTGCCCTACACAGGCCCACCTTGACTATGCAGCGAGATTCTCCAGGTGCCATGGCTGGAAGAAGAGAATTCTGCACCGTCACCAGCTCAGAGGCCAGGCTGCTGAGGTAGGGAGAGGCTGCCTGCTGTCTGGGGACACCAGGAAGAGGCTCAGCCACACCCGAGCTACAGCTTCATGGGGCTGTGGGTCTCCGGCCCTGGCTCTCCCTGAGATGGATGGGTCTCTGTCCGCGGACTGACTGGCAGATGCCGAATTAGGGGGCAAATGCAGCTGCGAGCCTGAGGGCCAGTCTCTGCAGCCTTGTCAGGGGCTGGTGCTCCCGAAAGAACCCACCCAGGTCTCAGTTCACAGCTGCTTCAGTCTCGGAAGCACCAGGGCTGCTGTGTCCATTCGCAGGACTGAGGCCATTTCGGGGGACACAGCACCCTCACTCTAATTGGCTTGCCTCATGGAAAACATTCAGTTACATCTATCACTGCTGATGATTACACTGTCACTGCTCACACTGAATTTTGTCAATGAATCTTCGTCCCACAAGATTTTCCACCTGAAAAATGATCAAATGGCAATATCCATTCCTCTGTTTCTTCTAGCCCTCCTGCCTGCCATGCTGTCCCTGAGACCCAACCTGTGTGCACATGGGAGAAAATTGGCTAAGCCAAAGATTCCCAACCAGCCTGGATTCAGTGTCTTCCTCTGCTACTTTCTGGCTGTATGACTTGGAATGCATTATTAAACCGTTCCAGGTGTCTTTGAGAATCTGTAGAATACAGTGTCTCCCTCATTTAAATTAAACATTTATTTTACTTATTTGAAGATCAGAGAGAGAGAGAGAGGAGTCTGTTGGTTCATTCTCCAAATACTCACAGCAGCTAGGGTTGGGCCAGGCAGAATCCAGAAGCCAGGAACTCATTCCAAGTCTCCCACATGGGTGGTAGGGACTCAAGGACCTGAGCCATTAACCGCTGCCTCTTGAACTCCACTATGGGATGCAGGTGTCCCAAGTGGCTCTTAACTGCTGTGCCAAACGTCCACTGTCCCTCATTTTGTGAACAGGATTAAATTGGACAATGTGTGTGACCTACATGCATGCTGGGCACGTGCCACCGTGAGTCTGGAATCGGTATCATAATTCCCATCTCATACACCTTGTGCACTGACTGCAGAAAAGGCCTTTGTGTTAAAGCATTCCTGGGTCCAAATCCTGCCTGGTGTAACCTTAGACACGTTACTGAAGCTCGGTTAGCGTGGATTCCCCTCCCTCCCAGGGAGGCCCCCAGTGGAGCCACACACAGACAACGCCTAGCAGTGCCAGGGACGCAGAAGACGCTGTGTAACCAGCCAAGCCCTGCTGTTTCCCCAAGGCCAGCTGGAATAGGGATTCTTCCTCAATATCCTGCAAGCTCCCACAGAAACAGAGACTCGCCCTGCATCGTCATGGCTCCTGTGAGCTTCTGCAGTGAGGCTTTGAGCTGCGCCAGCCAGAGTGTCCAGCACAGCCCAGCACAGCCAACCTGGGCAGATGGGCTTGGGTTGGGCGTGCATGCAGCCACCTCCTCTCCAGGACAAACAGCTCAGAAATGGCCTGTCACATGGCAGGGTCTGGAATGTCACTCTGGTGAAAGAGGAACAACACATGATGATGAAGTCCATAAAACTCTTCCTCTCCCCAGAACCGCCAAGGGCTCTTAACAACACTCGCTCATCCACGCACGTATTTGACGAGCACTGCATGCCAGGTGCTGAGCCAGCACTGGTGAGACAGGCACGCATCCTCTGCATGCGGCCAGAGAGAAGCATTAATAAGCTACTGTGGGGGCCAGTGCTGTGGCACAGCGGGTAAGGCCACCGCTTGCAGTGCCGGCATCCCACATGGGCACCGGTTCTAGTCCCCCCGCTGCTCCACTTCTGATCCAGCTCTCTGCTATGGCCTGGGAGAGTAGTGGAAGATGGCCCAAGTCCTTGGGCCCCTGCACCCATGTGGGAGACCTGAAGGAAGCTCCTGGCTCCTGCCTTCGGATCAGCACATCTCTAGCCATTGCGGCCATCGCGAGAGTGAATCAGCGAAAGGAAGATCTTGATCTCAATCTCGATCTCTCTCTGCCTCTGCCTCTCTGTAACTCTGCCTTTCATTTTTTTTAACTTTTTATTTATTTTTTTTTATTTTTTGACAGGCAGAGCGGACAGTGAGACAGAGAGAAAGGTCTTCCTTTGCCGTTGGTTCACCCTCCAGTGGCCGCTGCGGTCGGCGCACCGCGCTGATCCGAAGGCAGGAGCCAGGTGCTTCTCCTGGTCTCCCATGGGGTGCAGGGCCCAAGCACTTGGGCCATCCTCCACTGCACTCCCTGGCCACAGCAGAGAGCTGGCCTGGAAAAGGGGCAACCGGGACAGAATCTGGCGCCCCGACTGGGACTAGAACCCGGTGTGCCGGCGCTGCAAGGCAGAGGATTAGCCTAGTGAGCCGCGGAGCCAGCTTTAACTCTGCCTTTCAAATAAATAAATATTTTTTTAAAAATAAGCTAGTGTGAGGGGAGCCTGGCTTTGTTTTAATCAGGTATGCAAGGACATGCAGACATGGAAATGACTGTCATGAAAGACGAAATTGTTAATGGGCAGATCCCTAACAGGGAGGCACAGTGCACCACTGACAGCTGCTGGGAACCCGCCTGCGTTAGCCAGAGGCAGAGGCAGAGGAAGGGAAGGGACAGGGCAAGACCCTTTTCTCCAGACGTTTCCTCAGTAGGAGCGGATGAGGCAGGCTCAGCAGGTGCAGTCTGAGTAACTTCAGTAGGTCCTGGGGTGGAGGGGCTGTGCCTGTTATCTGGAATAGCGACCCCAGAGTGCAACAGCCCAGTACAGAGGTGGCTGTGCATAGGAGAGATGTGCTCACAGCTGCGGCCTTGACTTAATCTCTAGAAAGTGGCTAAACCCTGGCAGGCCAGGTGTCAAAGCACAGAATGTTCTGGAAAATATGGTTATCTCGTAAGAGAATCCTTCAAAGATGTCTTGCAAGATCTGGTGATGCTGTGAGGGAAAAACACAGAGTGCCAGAGGCCGTGTAATGATGTTCCTGATCCAGACTGGGGGTCGGAATCCGGAGTTCACTGGTGGGGCCAGGGAGGGGCTTGCTTCCCAGCGCACAAGCACCTGCGCCCGCAGAGCCTACACCAGGGCAGCCCAGCTTCCGTGATTCTGATCCAGGCCAGAATCTCGGCCAAGGCTCCTGGGCCCCTCATCAGCTTCGGTCAGCCCCTCCTCCTGCCCCACGGCCGCAGGCTCCCCAGCCACCTTCTCAGACTCTCTGAAGTCCTCACGGAGGAAACCAGTCAAATCACAAAAACGAAAGCTACCCCGCTGACACAATTTCACCACAACGTCAGGGTTCACGGGAAGGCCAGTTTAGCAGCAAAAAGTCTGGTTAGCAAAGCTCCCATGCCGTCCACGGCGCTCACCTTGGGCGGGAAACGGATGCGGTGCACCGTGCCTAGGAGGCCTGGGCGCGGGGCAGAAGCCGTCCCCAGGCAGCTTTGGGATCCCTTTTGTCTTGGGAACGCTCCCTTCCGAGATAAAGAAAATCCCAAGGAAAACCGGGATGCAGAGCAGCAAGCAAGGAAACGCGGAAGTGACCTCTCACCTTTGTGTAGAAAGAAGAGAAGGCCCGCTCCTTCAGGCCTCGCGAGACTCCTTGACCTTGGCCCCGCCCCCTGAGGTCAGCTGCTGCTAGGCGTTTGATGTGCGCCCAGTGCCATGAGCCTACACACCTGCTATGTGCCCCGCCCAAGATGGGCCCTGGGAAGGAGTAAAACACGATCTGCACCAAAGACAGCGAGCTCTACCACGCCCCGTGCTGCTGCGGGCTGGACGCACATCCAGGACGCAAAGAGGAAGAATGGCCCAAGTGTGCCTGGGAGGAGTCGGGCTGGGCTGGGCTGGGCTGGGCGGAGGAAGTGAGGTGGCCAGGCTGAGGAATAGGGGAAATCTCGCGGTTAACCCACAAATGGGGGCCTGTGTCGGGAGTGGTAGGAGGGCAGAGAGAGGGGAGAATCCAGGGAAAAGTCATAGGGCGCTGGGGCCAGGCGCTAACGGGCCTTACCTCTCACTGTTCAAGCATTTTGAACAAAGCAAAAAGGGGTTGTACGATGAGGTTTACAATTTGAGAATATCTCTGATAAAACATAGAGGCAGGGAAGCCTACGGGAAGGTCGTTACCGGCCTCTAGGGATGAGGAGAGTTTGGATCAAGGTGGTGGTGACGGGACACAGAGAGGGAAAAGACCATAGCGTTTCAGCCTGAAAGTCACAAGCCAGCGCAAAGGGCAGCGGTGGGGGCGTGGCTGAGCCTGACTGCAGAGGGGAAGCACGTGGTGCAGTTAAGTTCACCCCTGGGACACCTGGAACCCGGTTGGAGTGCCTGCTTCAAATCGTGGGTCCTTCCCCCTTTTTCTTTTCATTTTATTTAAGCTATACAAATTTCATGTATTGCATATATACAGATTTAGGGACATAGTGATCCTTCCCACCATACCCCCCCACTTCTGATCCAGCTTCCTGCTACTGCACCCCCTAGGAGGCAGCAGGTGCTGGCTTAAGTACTTGGGTCTTTGCCACATATGTGAGAGACCTGGATTGAGTTCTGGGCTCTTGGCCTCCACTTTGGCGGTAGTGGGCATTTGGAGAATGAAGCAGAGGATAGAAAATCTCTCTCCACCTAACTCTACCTGTCTGCCTTATAAATACAATGAAAACAAATATATTTTTAAAACATTTTAGAAAAAGAATATGAATGGTGGAGGCAGCTCACATGAGCGCCAGTCCCAGATTTGCCTTCTAATAGCTGTTTGGTGTCGGACAAGGTGTTGAATCTCTCAGAGCCACAACTGTGAAATGGACATAAAAATATTACTTTTCACATGGACTTGTTGAGATGATCGATGGAACCAACAAAAGTAAGACACTCAGAAAAGCTCACCTAGCACGTTGTAGATGCCCTGTATGTGTTGGCAATTATTAGTAGTGTTGGATGCAGAGGGAGAGGAAAAGAGGAGGAGGTGGGAGTGGCTGAGTTAGGGAGGCAGGTGTGAATATTTCAGCCTTGTACTTTGTCTAACTGTAGAATCTTGCTCCTGAGATCCTTTCTCTTAAAATGCAGCCTTGATAGCGTCGGGATGGGGTATGTGGGGTCCTTGCAATTTTCCTTTGCTCTGGTCTCCTAGCACTGCAAAATCTTTCGTGTCTCTCCACCCAGTCCTTATTCCTAGCCATTCATCTCTTCAGGCCTCATGCCATCTCTCCCCGCACCCTGCACCCCCCTGTAGTCAGTGGCCTAGGGCCCCATGGGAGCATGCTCCTCGCTCACCCCTCCCCAGGCAGGAGCTCCCCCTACCCCACCCAACTCTGACCCCTGTTTTTCCCACCCAGTGAAATTCCACTGAGCCTCCACCCCCCTGCACTCAGGGCTAAGGGACCTGGACCAGAAGTAGGGCAAGGAGAGGCGGGTGGAGCTCACTTTGACTTTTCACCAGTGTGGGAGAAGAGCCGCTTCATACATCCTGTCCAGTGGTCTTATTGTTTATGATGAGAGGATAACTCTATTATCAGTCAGTCTGTCAGGGCTGGATGCAGAATTTCTAGCCTTAGTTCCTCATCAGTGAGGTGTTATCACTCCAAATAAAAGGTTAAAAGAGGTGCATTTATATTTCAGTGCATTATATGGTATGTGTCACAAGGTAATTGCACTACAAATGTGATTTTTTCTCTTCATACTAATTGTGATAAACACAAAAACCCTCACACTTAAGTTTGATAAAATAAGACCAATGATAAGGAGCAAACATTAAAAATGGCCAGAAAAAGAAGAGAGAGAGGAGGAAGAGAAGGAGGAAGAAGAAGAGGAGAAGAAGGAAGGAGAAAGAGAAGGAGTGAAAAGAGAAGAGGCGAGGAGAGGGGAGAAGAGGAGGGAATAGGAGAGGGAGAAGGAGAAAAAAGAGCAATGAGGGGCAATGATAAGAAACGATGGAGGCCACAAAGATGATGGCAAGGCTCAAAGTTTTCAGGAAAATGAAATCAGAGGGTCGGGTGCCGGATGAGCTGTGCTGTGAGACACGCTAAGGCAGCTCTCCAGACAGAAGGCAGCATCAGAACATGGTATGAAGATGCAGACCTACACGGAGGAATGATCCCAGAAAGGACAACGACCTGGGGAAACGTCACAGACAGCCCTTTCGCATTTTGTGAATTTCTTTGAAAGACAATTAACTACTTAAAGAGAAAATACTCCTATATGATCGATAACGAATATAAGTAAAATATATGTAAACAGCAGAAGAAGTAAATTTAATATTCTGTTACAAATGTCTTACATTACAGGTGACTTGAAATATTATTAACTCTGTGCAGTCTGTGACAAGTTACTGATGCATTTTTAAAACCACCACGCAACCATTGAAAGTATATGTATAAATGGTTGATGTGGGGCTGGTGCTGTGGCATAGCGGGTAAAGCCACCGCCTGCAGTGCTGGCATCCCATATGGGCACTGGTTTGAGTCCCTGCTGCTCCATTTCCTATTCAGCTCTCTGCTATATCCTGGGAAAGCAGTAGAAGATGGCCCAAGTCCTTTGGCCCCTACACCTGCGTGGGAGACCCAGAAGAAGCTCCTGGCTCCTGGCTGCAGATCAGTGCAGCTCCGGCCATTGCAGCCATTTGGGGAGTGAACCAGCGGATGGAAGATCTCGCTCTCCTCCCCCACCCACCCCCCACACTGCCTTTCTTTAACTCTGCCTTTCAAATAAATCAGTTAATTAAAAAAAAAAAAAGATCGATGTTCTGGTATAGCAGGTTAAGCCGCCACTTGTGATGCCAGCATTGTATATCACAGTGCTTGTTTGAGTGCCAGCTACTTGACTTTCAATCCAGCTTTTCCTGCCAATGTCCCTGGGAAGGCAGTGGAAGATGGTCCAAGAATCTTGAGCCCCTGCCACCCTTGTGGGAGACCTGGATGGACTTTTGGCTTTGGCCTGGCCTAGACCTGGCTGTTGCAGCCATTTGAGGAGTAAACCAGTAAATGGAAGGTATTCTCTCTCTCTCTCTTTTTCTCCCCCCCTTCAGATAAATTAATCTTTAAGAAATAAATTTTAAAACAAAAAAAATAAGAAGATACAGCTCAGATACCAATAGATGAAATAAAATGGATTACTAAAAAAATCTAAGAAAGCCAAAAGAAGAGAGAACAAACAAGGACAACTATCAAATGGACAAGTCAGTGAGTACATTAAATGTTTACAAAGGGAAATATACCAATTAATGCGCAAAGATGATCAGAGTGGGTTAAACAGCAAGCCATATTCAAATGCATGCTTTCTTTAGAGATGCACTTTCTTTAACATGACTTTAAAGGTTTATTTATTTGAAAGGAGAATTCCAGAGGTAGAGAGAGTGAGAGAGAGAGAGAGAGAGGTCTTCCATCTGCTGGTTCACTCCCCAGATGGCCGCAGCGGCCGGAGCTGTGCCAATCCAAAGCCAGGAGCCAGAAGCTTCTTCTGGGTCTTCATGTGGGTACAGGGACTCAAGGACTTGGGCCATCTTCCACTGCTTTCCCAGGCCATAGCAGAGAGCTGGATCAGAATTGGAGCAGCCAGGACTGGAACTGGTGCCCATATGAGATGCCAGCACTGAAGGTGGCAGCTTTACCCATTACACCACAGCACCGGCCCAAAGATGCACTTTTTTTAAATAAAGATTTTATTTATTTATTTGAGAGGTAGAGTTACAGAGAGAGAGAGAGAGAGAGAGAGAGAGAAGTCTTCCATCCACTGGTTTACTCCCCAAATGGCTGCAATGGCCAGAGCTGGGCCAATCTGGAGCCTGGAGCCAGGACCCAGGAACTTCTTCTGGGTCTCCCACATGGGTGCAGGGGCCCAAACACTTGAGCCATCTTCCACTGCTTTCCCAGGCCATAGCAGAGAGCTGGATCAGAAGAGGAGCAACTAGGACACGAACCAGCACCCATATGGGATACAGGCACCAAAGGCAGAGGCTTAGCCCACTGTGCCCCAGTGCCAGACCCTAGAGATGCACTTTGAATTCAAAGACCCTGATAGGTTTAAAGAGAAAGGACATAAAAAGCTATAGCATGCAAACAGTAAGAAAGGTGGTGTGGCTCTATTAAAACCAAGCAAAGTAGGTTTCAGGACAGGTCAGGATGAGCAAAGGCGTAATTAAACCAAGAAGATATAATAACTCACAACAGACATACACCCAATAACATGGTTTAAAATACATGAGACAAAACTGCAGAAAGACCAACAAATTCATACTCTCAGTAATGAGTCGAATAAGTAGGTTAAAAATAAGGAAGAATATGAAACATTTAAACAATGCTGACAAGCAACTTGACCAACTTACATTTGCAGACGTTATAATTAACCATTGCAGAACACACATTGTCTGCAAAGTACATGGAACCTTCAACAAAATATCTCAAATGCTATCTCACAAAATAAGTCCTAAGACATTTCAGAGGAATAAAACCTTGAAAGAATGTTTTCCTACCATAAAAAACTAAATTAGAAACTAGTAATAGTAAAATGCTTTGAAAGTATCTTCAATTACTTGAAAATTAAGTAATACACCTCTAAACAATTTACTCCTTTCCTCAGAGCCAAAGAAGAAATCACAAAAGAAATTAGAAAATATTTAAAATCTAATGATATTGAAAGCATAACATCAAAATTTGCAGGCTACAGTTAACACAGGGCTTACAGAGAAATTTATAGTGCCAAGAACTTGTACTGTGAAATAAGAATTAAAATCTAAATCTAAAAATAATCTAGGGTTTCACTTTAAAAAATTCGAAGAAAAGGAAATTAACTCTCAAAGAAAGCAGGTGGAAATAATAACCACAAGAGAACATTCAACTGGAAAACAGACAAATTACATAGAGAAAGTCATTAAGACAAAAGA